GTGGGAGAGGTGTTTGTGCAGGAGATCACAAGATCCCTCCAAGAAGGGTGGCTGCAGATCAAGGGCTTAGAAATAGTAATTAACCATTATAAATTAGATTTTTGCCCAATATACACAGATAAACCAAGAGAAATTAAAATGGGAATCATAGAAATACCAGTTAATTTTATTTCTGAGAAGTGCTCACTCAGGATCTTCATGATTGCATAAACACAGCTTTGTTCACAAGGAGGAATTTGCACACCCAAATTAGGCAAGTGTGTATCTAAAACTCTTTTTCCATGTCAGTAGGATGGAAAGCAAAGCATTTTAGTAAATAATTCATCCCAGGAAAGCATAAATGGCTGAGTCCCCATCCCCAGTATGTGAGCATGTTGAGACAGGGGTGATGTCCTTGTTTATTCAAGGACAGGTTTATCTCCAGCTTTACAAGGGTAAGGTGTTTATTTTTGTGCTGTGACTCATTTTCATTACAATTTTGCGTCTCCTGGTTTCAAGGCAGGTTGTTCCAGTCCAAGGTTCTTTTAGCATTTAAAAGCTGAGAAATCCCCCCCTGATTTTCTGTAAAAATCCAGTCTGTGCCACGAGCTCCTCCCTGTCCCGAGCAGACCTTGGTCCAGGCACAGGTCATCGTGATGAAATGCAGGATATCTCACATTTATGGACACCTCTCACAGTACTGGGTGTTTATGATCCTGTCTCCTGCTTTCTGAGCTGATGAAGTGCTCCCATGAGCCATGTGGACAGTACTAATTGCTGTAATTACTGTCCCCTAATTGCTGCAATGGTTTGTTTCAGGAGAGCTTTCTCACTCTGGGGAAGGGAGCAGGAAGGACCCTGTGGGTGCAGAGAGGGCTCCCAGTGGCCAGTGCCACTCAGGATGGCTTTTCACGGATTTTCATGGCTTTCCATGGCAGTTGTGGTGGGGATGGGATGGGCTTGTGTGCCTGGAAATGGGCTCTTTTCAGGCTTGAAATTAATTAAACTGAAATGTGTTCAATTAGAAAGGCAGTTGTTTGAGAGACCCAAAGTAGCTTTGGAAGTGTTTGTTCCAGTGATGGGCTCCATCCACAATAACAGTGGTAATGAGGAGTTTTTAAAAGTGGATTTTAAAAGGTGTTGCACCATGGCTGCTTTATCCTGGACTGGCCCAGGAGTGGGAGATGGAGCTCAAGGGGCTCAGCCCACCCAGCTGGGAGGGCTGGTGCAAGGAGCCCCTGCAGATGGAACCAAAATTCAGGTGCAGGAATCATTGCTGGGTTTGTTTCTTTGTGTTCCCTCCATTGCTCAGAAAGATTTGCTGCTGCTCCTGAAATGGACTTACATGAAAACTTTCCTAATTGCTCTCCCTCACTTTGTCTGGGGCAGCCCCTGGGGAAATGCTGAGCTCCATCCACTGGGGAGCAGCAGGAGCATCTGCTCCTGTTACCTTTGCAAGCTCTGACCTTATTCAGTGTTTTGGGTGAAATTTCCACAGAATCACAGCATGGTTTGGGCTCTAGGGAGCCTAAAGCTCTGCTCAGCCCCCTGCCAAGGGCAGGGACTAATTCCCGTGGATATCTGGATTTCTAGAGCTGCCTGCCCGGTTACCTTCCTGCTCAGAAGGCAAAGGGAGCACGAGAAGGGTCTGGGGGGGTTTTGCCCAGAGAAAACAGCCAGGGAGAAACTTGAGTGAGCTGGGCTCAGAGAGGGGAATCAGCTCTCTGCAGGATGCTGGGGCTGTCTGTCCTGCACTTTGGGATGGGATGGGGCACAGGAGGAGCTGTGCTAACTGAGGATGGAATCCTGACCTGATGCATTTCGAAATGAATAAAACCCGAGCCCTGAACAGATCCCAGGCTGTGCCTCGCCCATCAGCTCACACAGAGCTCTGCAGCTGGGAGCAGGCTCCAGGCAGCTCCTGTGTGTGAATTTGGGTGGTTTGGGGGGATTTGCAGTGTGTGCAGCCCGACTCTGCCCTGCCACACGTGGTGGGCTCAGGAGGCTCTGCCTGAGCAGCTGAGCTCTCCCCATCGCCAGGAAACCGGAATCAATAAAACTTCCTGGGAAACCGAAAGGAGAAATGCAGCAAACTGTGAGCCTCATCTTGCCCTGCTAGGAGCTCATTAATGTCTCAGCAGGGGCACTCCTGCATTATCTTAATTGCTCAGGTCCTCAGGGAAATTGCCTTTCTGAAGCTCCTGGCTGCTGTCAGTGCCTGAGGTGGGTCAGGTGCACCTTCCTCATCATCTTTAATGAGTGGCTGAGCACAGCAGCAATAACTGTCTGTGTTTGGGGTGTTTGCAGCTGGGGCTGACTCTGGGGCAGAGGCCAGGCTTTGGCAGGCCAGGCTTTGGCAGTCCTGCAGCCCAGGGAGGGCTGCTGTGTGCTCTGGCACTAGGGTGTGTGTTCCAGGTGAGCAACTCAAACGTTCTGTCATTTTTCTTGGAAAAAAGGGTTCGTTGAGCAGGGAGAGAAGGAGGAGGATATGGGGCTGGATAATAACACCCAGTGAGTCTGGAAGGGAAACTGGAACAGGGAGTTGGTGTTTCACTGGGGTTTGCTCTGAAGTGACCTGTTCCAGTCCGTGTTTCAGTGGGGTTGCTCTGCAGTGAGCTGTTCCAGGTTGTATTTTAGTGGGGTTTCTCTGAGCTGTTCCAGGCTGTTTTTCAGAGGGGTTAACTCTGATGTGTTCCAGGTTGTATTTTAGTGGGGTATTTCACTGCTCTGCAGTGAGCTGTTCCAGTCTGTATTTCAGTGGGGTTTCTCTGAGCTGTTCCAGGTTGTATTTCAGTGGGGTTTGCTCTGCAGTGAGAAGAGCAGTTCCAGTCCATGTTTCAGTGGGGTTTCCCTGAGCTGTTCCATTCTGTATTTCAGTGGGGTTTCCCTGAGCTGTTTGAGTTGGTATTTCACTGGGTTTTTCCCTGAGCTGTCCCAGGCTGCTGCTGGGCTGGCTGCTGTGGCAGGAGAGGCTGAGGACGCTCCTGTTTCCCTGGGCTGTTTGTGCTGCTCCTGCTGCAGCTGCTCTCCTGCAGGAGCCTGAGCAAGACAACAGGAGTGACCTAGAGACAGCTCTTCATTAGCAGGAGAAAATGAAATAAATGAAGAATAATGGTCAACGTTGGAAATAAATTAACATCAATTAATCACTGACTAAGACAGTGTTCCCAGCATTAATCATTCCCCCTTGCTGCCAGCAGAGCATCAGCCAGGCTCACACATGTGGAACCCCTGCATGGTGTGTGCAGGGTGCACGAGCACAGGGACTGAGGAGAAGCTGCTTCCCCGAGGGTGAAATGCTCCCTGCAGCTCCTCGGGCCCCTCAGAGAGCCCAGCTCAGCCCTGCTGTGCTGCTGGGGCAGCTGGGCAAGGACGGGGACATCGGGGTCCCTTTGGGACCGCAGCCCCAGGATCAGAGCACCCTGGGCTTCTCTGGAGCTTTTGATGGGTCAGAACAGAAATGGGGAAATGTGAAGGAACAGAAATCCTGCCTCTTCCAACTCCTGTTCTCAGCTGATGATAAAGAACAGACTTTACCAAAATGGGAGAAAAATAAAATGGTGAAGAGACAGAAAATGTTTACCTGGAATACTGAAAAGCCCTGAACAGAGCAGTCTGATTTCAAAGTCTGATTTAAAGGATTTGAAGCTCTGGCTGTGCCTTGCCCTGCCAGTGGCACCGTGGGCACCATCCCTGGAGCAGAGGGCAGGGACCCTGCCCAGCTGCCCGTGGGTCTCTCTGGTCCGCACAATCCATGTTTATTCTGATGGTCCCTTCAGAGCTGGGGGTGCTGTGTGGAGCTCCCTGGAGGCAGCGTTGGATTTCAGCTGGTTTTTACCAGGTGGGTGCCCAGTTTGGCCACTGGGATGCTGCTGGTGTGCCTGGGGAGCTGGGCAGGGGCAGGAGGGGCCTTTTGCAGGTGTCTGAATGGGCTCTGCCCCTCTGCTTGCAGTTTTGTGCTTTGCAGTTCCTGGCACACCCACTGAAGGACTCTGCTCCCTGTGTTTGAGCAGAACAGGAGAATTCTACTTGGCACATTTCTATAACTTCATGTTGCTTTTAGATATCCTGTTAGAAACACTGGTAAAACACCTCATATCTGCTTTTTGTACTCCCAGTGATTGAAGCAGCCAGCAGCAGTTAATATTTTATGAACAGTGGAAAAAGATTTAAAATCCAAAAGGTCTCCTTAGGAATATAAGCAATGCAGCAGATTCTGTAGAAGCTCTGCTTGTTGTGGAAGTGCAGAATGAGCTCCTTTTGATTTTGGGTTGGAAAAGCAGTTGTTGGCAAGGTGAAGTACAAAGAGGTGCCACGGATAAAACCTGATATTACAGCCTCACTCTCCTGCTGGTTGCAGAAAGCAGCCCTTGCTCTGCCCTTGCCCTGCTCTCTGTGAGCCAGAGGTGCAGAGCCCTTGCAGTGCTCATCCTGGGGCAGCACAGGTCAGATTTGTTCTTCTGAGGAGGCAGGAGCTGGTGAATACCTGTGGGTGATAAACACTGTGCAGTGCTGGTGAATACCTGTGGGTGATAAACACTGTGCAGTGCTGGTGAATACCTGTGGGTGATAAACACTGTGCAGTGCTGGTAAATACCCATAGGTGATAAATACTGTGCAGTGCTGGTGAATACCTGTGGGTGATAAACACTGTGCAGTGCTGGTAAATACCCATAGGTGATAAACACTGTGCAGTGCTGGTGAATACCTGTGGGTGATAAATAAACTGGCAGCAGCTGGTTCCCAGCTTTATCTGGGTAACTGGGAGCAGTTGGTTCCCAGTTTTATTGGGGTAACTGGGAGCTTTATTGGGGTAACTGGGAGCAGTTGGTTCCCCGTTTTTCTGGGTAACTGGAGCCAGTGAAGGACTGTTCCTGTCCCTGTACCTCGTAGGGGAACGTGGTGCAGAACACAGCAAAGCCAAAGTTCAGCTGAAGCCAGGAGCTTTAGCTGCTGCTGCTGCAAGAAGTGCCATGAGTCTGTGAATGTGTGTATTTATCAGAAATTGTTTCTTTCTACAGATCCCACAAATCAGTTATGCCTCAACTGCCCCCGAGTTGAGCGATGACAGGCGCTATGATTTCTTCTCACGGGTGGTTCCTCCAGATTCCTTCCAAGCACAAGCAATGGTGGACATTGTGAAAGCTTTGGGATGGAATTATGTGTCCACTGTGGCATCTGAAGGGAATTATGGAGAAAAAGGAGTGGAGTCCTTCATGCAAATTTCCAGAGAGGCAGGTAGGCCGTGCTGCTCAGCAAGCCATCCGTGTCGTGTTGTGCTCAATGTCATCCTGTGTTCCCAGAGCCCATCTTTGGTCCTAAAGCTGCTCCGGCTCTCTGCAATGCTCTGCCACGGCTCCTGGGTGTTGTCGTTCCTGAACTGCTCCTGGAGGGTCAGACAGTGGGAGCCCTCAGTGGTTTTCAGCCGTTTCTGGGCATTCAGAAACCCTGAGTTGTGCCCAGCTCCTGCTGCTGCCCTGGCTCAGCTGTCCTGGTGTGGGCACGGGCACAGGGCAGGTTTGGCAAGGCTGAGCTCCTGTGTGTGTCTCCATGGGCTGGAGCTGTGCTGTGAGCTGTGCTGTGAGCCGCTTCCAGCCTGGCCGGTGCCACCGTGGGTGCCCAGCTCTCCATGCCAGCCTGGTCTGAGCTTGGGTTTGGGTTTGCTTTGGCATTGCCCTGCCCAGCTCAGTGCAGGGAGCTCAGAACCTTCCCCTGGAGGCTCAGGGGCTGCTGTGTGGGGTGAGCCATGCCAGAGCTGGGTGTGAGTCCTTGGCCAGCTGGTTGGCAACCCAGACTTGTGAGGGTTTGGGAGCTGCGGTGTTTGCAGCTGATTCCTGTGCTGGGGAGGAGGAACAGCAGAGGATGGGATTCATTGCTGGTGATGAATGCAAGGGCTGTCTCCAGAGGCTCTGCAGGCAGAGCCATCAGCAGGGGCAGGGCAGGCTCTGCTGTGCTCCCCAAATGGGGCTCACAGGTGTCCCAGCCTGGCACTGCCTGGCACTGCCTCAATGAAAGCAGCTCGGTGCCCAGCTCAGTGCCCAGGCAGGGCAGGAGCTGCTCTGCCCAGGCTGGTGCCACAGCACTGGCTCTGTCTGCAGGGACAGCCCCCAAACTGCCCCAAACTGCCCCAACCTGATGGATCCCTGCTGGCAGCACCTGCCAGGGAACAGGCAGGGAGAGTCACTGGGCTCAAAGGAAGGGGCCTGGGAGAGGGGGAGCTGGAATTGTTTCCTTATGCTGGTGTCACAGAAGGAACCCACATTTGCATAAATTCTTCTGTTCCTACAAATGCATATTTATGTAGTATTAAAGCAAATGGGTTTGGATTTAATACAGCAGGAAGTGACAAATGCCAGTGCTCATTGGAATTTAAAATTGGCTTTATTTGCAAATATCCACTGTTGCAATCCCATGCCCAAAATGTGTTCCCTGTGTGAAGGGCAGGCTCTGGCTGCAGAGCAGGGCCCCGGTTCCTGGACCTGGTGCAGAATTACATTTGTTCCATGAGCTGCCCATGCAGCCAACACCAAACTGAGCCCCTCAGACAGAGCAGAGCCTGCAGAGCCTGCTCCCCTCAGCTCTGAGAGTGCAGGGGATGGAGGTGATGCTGGGGATGAAGGCTCTGGATGACAGGGATGCTGCCTAAAGCTCCTCCTCGGAGCCGGGATGGGATAATCTGATCCCTGGCTGTGCTCAGCTCCCTGTGCCACGCTCACACAGCTCAGGGGAAGCTCTGACAGGGTTTAATTCCTGGGGCCTCAAGTGCCCCAGGGTGGGTATTGGTGAAAACTCTGTGCAGGATGGGCTGGGCAGGCTGGCAGGGACTGCCTGGGGCAGTGACAGTGACGGGCACCAGCCCTGGGAAGGGCCAGGAAAGGGCTGGGAATGGCACCCGGGGACAGGGATGGGCAGGGGGCAGAGCTGGGATGGGCAGGGATAAGGAAAGGGCTGGGAATGGCACCTGGGGGCAGGGATGGGCTGGGAATGGCACCTGGCTGTGACGGTGTTCACAGGGGTCTCAGGATGAGGGAAGAGACGAGGATCTGACTCCATGGTTCAGAAGGCTGATTGATTATTTTATCATATATATTACATTAAAACTATACTAAAAGAATAGAAGAAAGGATTTCCTCAGAAGGCTGGCTAAGAATACAGTAGGAAGGAGTGATAACAAAAGCTTGTGTCTCAGACAGAGAGTCTGAGCCAGCTGACTGTGATTGGCCATTAATTAGAAACAACCCCATGAGACCAATCCCAGATGCACCTGTTGCATCCCACAGCAGCAGATAATCATTGCTTACATTTTGTTCCTGAGGCCTCTCAGCCTCTCAGGAGGAAAAATCCTAAGGAAAGGATTTTCCATAAAAGATGTGTGTGACACCCGGGGCAGAGCTGGGCAGGGATGGGGCAGAGCTGGGCAGGGATGGCAGCCCTGTGCAGGGAGGGCAGCACGGCCCCTCCTGGCTCTCCCAAGCAGATCAGAGCCCAGGCTGGAGGGACCCCAGCCCAAAGCTGAGCCGTGCCAGAGCTCTCTGCCATCTCCAGGCCCTGTCCCTTGGCGCAAGGGCAGCTCTGCTCCATAGGCACCAGCGCATTCCCTGGCTCTGGCTGCAATCTGTAGCAGGTTAGTTATCCTGAACGCAGAGTTTCATCCAAACTCGTGTCTGATCAGCTGGGATCTTAGGGAATCTGGGGATCAGTGGAAAGTGCTTCCCCTGCTCAGTTTTCAAATATGCTTTGGCACATAAAGACTTTGCTTGATCCTCTGAGTTAATAATTCTTCACAAAGTGACTTTTATTATGGGCACTTCAAGCGAGTTTGAATATGTCATTGTGGCAGGAGATGAAGATTTGAAACATGCTCTGCAGTCTGTGGGATTAATAAATTAGGGGAATGGTCTAATTATGGGAAATCTTAAGGACAATTTCAGATTATTAATGAAACTACTGAATACTTGAATTTCAAAGATTAATTCATCTTTGATTTTTTTTTAAAGATTAATCTGTACCAGAAGGTTAATTGCTGTCTGTAAGAAATATATATATTGAAGTCGTTAGCAAAAGACCACTTGAATGCCTCCTAACAGATAAATGAAAGATCTGGAGTGCATTTATGAACGCTCTGCTCTCCCCAAATGGCCCATTGGCACAGCTCAGTGGGGTTCTGCTGCTCTGCACTGCTGGGCTGCACGATGAGTGTCCCTCCTTGTACAGCTGGGCAGGGCTGGGAGGGGATGGGGAGAGCTGGGGAGGATGAGGAGGAGCAGTGGGGATGGGCTGAGCTGTTGGATGTTGGGCTGAGCTGCTGGGGCTGCCCAGGACAGAGCAGTGAGGATGAGGAGGAGCAGTGAGGATTTGATGAGCTGTCGGATGTTGGGCTGAGCTGCTGGGGCTGCCCAGGACAGAGCAGTGAGGATGAGGAGGAGCAGTGAGGATTTGATGAGCTGTTGGATGTTGGGCTGAGCTGTCGGATGTTGGGCTGAGCTGTCGGATGTTGGGCTGAGCTGCTGGGGCTGCCTAGGACAGAGCAGTGAGGATGAGGAGGAGCAGTGAGGATTTGATGAGCTGTTGGATGTTGGGCTGAGCTGCTGGGGCTGCCCAGGACAGAGCAGTGAGGATGAGGAGGAGCAGTGAGGATTTGATGAGCTGTCGGATGTTGGGCTGAGCTGTTGGATGTTGGGCTGAGCTGTCGGATGTTGGGCTGAGCTGCTGGGGCTGCCCCAGAGCACCGGGCTGGGCTCAGCTCTCCCCCTGCAGCCCCTCGGGCAGCCAGCCGGGCTCACCCCGCTCTGAGCTCAGCTTTGGGGCAGCCTCAGCAGAGCCAGGCTCTGGCTGTGGGGCTGGGCTCCTTGCAGGGTCACAGGGCCCGGGTGTTGGTGGGTGTGAGGGTGCACAGGGGGGGCTTTGGGGAGGTTTGCAGACCCCTCCTGGGGCTCAGTGAGTTCCCCTGTCCTTGGCTGTGCTCAGTCACCCAGCTGTGATGGGTAGCCTTTCCTCACTCTGCTGGGATCCTGCTTTCTGGATCAAATGCACAAAAACAAATGGATAAAGCGCTCAGAAAATCGAGTCATTTATATCCAAGCGCTTCAAGTGTTTTCCATTTTTCTTCCCACTTTTCCCAAGCACTCAGGCACGTGTCCTTTCAGTGTGCGCTGATGTTAAATAACAACATTATGAAATCTATTGTTCTCCCTCCTGTTGTCACATGACAAATGTTTTGGCATTTCAGAGCCAACAGCCAGGAAGGATGGCTGTCTGAGTTTGTAGCGGCTGCAGTTCTGTGCCCAGCCTGGCCGGGTTAATGAGGTGTCCTGTTAATTGTGCTGGGCTGGGAGGAGATGCCCTGGCCTTGGTGCTCAGGAGTGTTGGGGTTGCAGTGAGAGCCTGGAGGAATTGCTGAGAGCAGGAGAGCAAAACCTGTCCCTGGGAGCGCTCAGAGCTCTTTGGGGCCTGTGAGCAGGGCAGAGGAGGGGCTGAGCTCCCTGAGGGCTGCCTGGAGCTCGGAGCTCCTCCTGTGCCTGCCTGGGGCGCTGCGGTGGTTCCACATCCCAAACCCTGTGGCTGCAGGGCCGCTCCCTCCTGGGCCTGCCAGGGGTCCTGAGGGGCTGCTCTGCTCCCTGCCAGCACAGGGGATGAATCCCAGCTCCCTTTGCAAACATCCCTTTCTCTTGGACTGCTCAGGCTGAGTCGGCGCCAAACACAAGCGCACTGGTAAAGAGCTTGAGTGAAAAACAAACCCAGTCATTGATGCCTGGTGGTAGATGTATTTCCTTACCTTAAAACCAAACCCAGTCCTTGGTGCCTGGTGACAGAAGTATTTCCTTACCTTTAACCAAATCCAACCCTTGGTGCTTGGTGACAGATGTATTTCCTTCCCTTTTACCATCATGGGGGATCAGTGCCTGGTGTGGATTTCCAGGGTTGTGGGTGACAGAGCTGTCAGCTCCAGCTGCAGGCAGGCCTGGAGACCCTTTGGTTTTGGTTACATTGCACTATATACTTTTCTTTTGGTTACAATGCATTAGATACTTTTCTTTTGATTACAATGCATTATACACTTTTGGTTACACTGCAATATATACTTTCCTTTGGTTCCAATGCATTCTATACTTTTCTTTGCTGAGCATTTTCATACAGCAGAACCAATCTATACCTTAACTATTACCTATAGCCTATCATAACTGCTATAATTACCATACTCATGTTACTGGTCTCCAATCACTAAAAGTCAGTACATT